CCACATTTGCCATCTATTATACGGCAGGATGTGGGCACCCAAAACATTTTCAAAAACCATTTGTTTTCCACTTTTACCGGCTATTATACGGCAGGACTGTGTGGACACCCAAAAAACATTTTTCCACTTTTGTCAGCTATTATACGACAGGATTGTGTGGACACCCAAAAATATGTTTCCCACATTCGTCCAACGATAAGCTTAGATAGGGTAATTGGGCACCTTGAATTTAAACCACCCCCACATTTACCGGCTATTATACGAACGGTCGTGGGCACCGAAAAACCATTTTTCAATTTTTAAAACCACCCCCCACATTTACCGGCTATCATACGGACGGTTGTGGGCATCGAAAAACCATTTTTTTACTCCCCGCGCAGGTACCAACCACAACACAACCCAACACAACTCAACTCCACACAACACAACACAACTCAACCAAAGTCAACACAACCCAACTCAACTCAACACAACATAACCCAATACAATTCACATAATATACAACAAAATTCAACACAACCATTTCAACACAAAGCTCATATCATCCATACCATTAGTAATTTATTTCCCCCAAGTTTGGTTCATATTATAACATAATTTAAAATATCAACATTGAGGTCTCAATTGCAACTTTTACATAAATTTTCAAACTCTTTAAAATTTCAATTGAACTTGTACATGTGTAATTTAACACCTCAATTTCATGATTTTACCATTAATTGAAGCAAAACCATTAACCATCTTCATGAGCCAAACTAGGGTTTTTAAGAGAAATTAAAGATTTTTACAAAAACATATTTTATTCCAACCCTTCTATCACTTTTACACCCAAACTCATGACCCAAGATCATAACCCAACAAGTAAACCAAACTCTCTTCAAACCCTAACCCCCAATCTCATGATTCATCACAATATGCATAAAAATGTAAACTTTTGTATTTATATAAAGAAAATACCACAAATTTATCTATAATGAGGGTATTGAAAGAGAACTAGAAACCCCTACCTCTTAAACTAAGAGATGACGACCCAAAATTCACTGGCGATGAAACCACAAACTATTCAAATCAAAATGAAGCCCTTGATGAGATCTACACTCTTTCTCATTCTCAAAGAACCAAGGTGAAAAGATCACTCTAGGTGAGTAGATATAGAGATTTAAGAGAAAAAGTTTGAGTTTTAGGGAGAGAGAAGATAACTCACGGTTTGAGAAAGATGAAAGAGGAGAAAAGTGAAATGAAAATATGTTTGGAGCTTATTTATAGTAGCAAGGTAATTATAAAATAATAGCCCTAAAGTCAAATAAAAATAACAAGTCAAAACCCCGCAAAAAGTAGGGCCCAAACTAGCCCAAAAAGCTGAAAATTACACGCAGGTGTCGACCCTTCAAGTAAAGGTGTCGTCCCTTCAAGAAGAAAAGCAATTTGTGCAACAGGCAAGGTGTCGAACCTTGGATAGGAAGGGTCGACACTAAATTTCAGCAAGCAACTTCTAGATTCAACAACATATAAGGGTCAATCATTTTCAGACTGGTGTCGACCCTTATGGATAGTAACAAAAGGCAGGTGTCGGCATCACCAAGGCTAGTGTCGACACTAAATTTCAGCAATACCTCCAGAAACTTCACCAACAAGTAAGGGTCGACCCTTAGGATGGCTGGTGTTGACCCTAGAATAGAATTTCTAAGTTTTCAAGGAATTTTTTGACAAGAACAAGTGCGAACAAACAAACCCAACGAGTTTAAATCGGATTATACTCCTCCAAAACCAACATTCAACAACTCCAAAGACTCCTAAAAGAAAATAAGGGAATTAAATACACACTCCAATGGATTAAAGGATATCGGTGTTACAGCGCCCCTTGCAGTTGAAGTTGTTTTTCCGCTCAAGTAGTCATTCCTGCGCTAGAGCGGAGATCACGGCCTTTCAAAAGTTTCATTTTTGCTTACAAAAGTACTGGAAGTTGTATTTTTCCACTCGAGCGGCCTTTCCTGCGCTCTAGTGTAGATCCTTATTCTGAAACACGCATTTTAGTCAGTCCGCTCGAGCAGCCATTCTTGCGTTCGAGCGGAGATCGCGATTCTATTTTCTATAAAATTGCGGTTCAGTCAGGTTTTAGAGTACGACTTCCAGATTTTCTTTTTGGGTATTAGGGTTTTCATCTGTAGCTTCTTTGTTTGTTTCCTTTGATAACTGTGAGAGTTTATATCATAAATTGGTGGATTATATCAAAGGGTTTGTTTATTTTGTTTTATTCACAAAAGAGAGATTTGTTCTTCTATGGATTCCTGTAGAATTTAGGCCTGAAGTTTTGATAGATTCCGGAGTGGCTTTGACATCGGCGTTATGGATTCAACGTTGGACAAGATAATTTCAAGGTGAAGACAATGGTAGAAGAGGCATATAGGGGTCGGTTCGATTCGGGCGTGGATTCCCTAGGTAATTGAGAGTACACTTGTGTAATTCTTTTGTGTCTTCTTAGTGGATTGCTTTGTGGCTTTTGCCCGTGATTTTTTTTATCATAATTGGAGGCGCTTCAATTGTGGTTTTTCCACATTAAATCGTTGTGTTGATTTATCTTTGATTGTTTGATTGAAATTGTTATTTATTGGTTAAAATTGATACATAATCACAAATCAATATCTCCGATATTTTAGATTTTTCACTACTAAAAAAGAAATTAGCGTCCTCAAAAATGAAAGCGCAATATATATACATACATAAATTCATTTAGGGTTACAAATGGATCAACTTGTTCATAAATAACTTATATTTGGCTCGGTTTGTTTACTAAATAAACAACCTTGAGCTCAATTTTTAAACCCATTTATTAATTAAGTTCAAGTAGCCTTAAACTCCCTTATAAGACTTATGGATATAAAGAAAATAAATTAATATTTATTAATAATATATGAAATAAAATTTTATTAAATTAATTTATTTTATTTTTGTATGTGTATTTGTATAAATTAATATATTTGATTTACTATTAATATAAGTATTCTAGTATATTTTGCTTATTTATTTATTTTAAAACTCAGCTACTTATTTTAATCTCTCACATTCTTGTATATTTTTACTTAGATAAAACTTAATTGATTAATTTAATGACTTTTATAAAAAAAAAAAATTACAAATATAATAATATAATAATTTGTAGTGACTTTTTAACTAAAATAACTCGAGGCCTTACGCTCAATTATTTCTTAATTTTCGTTTGGAAATATACTATTTTAATAACTTTTAAATTTTTTATGAAAAAATATGTGAAAAATAACAGTTCTGGTTGGTAGCTCACAATTAGTATGGCTCGAATGGCCCGAGTCCAAAACGAAGTCGTTTTTTTTATCATCATCATCAACAACATCCTCATCAACATCATCAACAATTTTTTTCCCCCCTCATCTTCAGATCCAGATCAACTAGAAAAAGAAAAAGAAAAAGAAAAAAAAAAAGAGTAGAGAAAACCGAGTTTGAAATCAACAACATCTTCATCAACACATCATCATCATCATCAACAACATCCTCATCAACATCATCAACAATTTTTTTTTCCTTTCATCTTCAGATCCAGATCAACTAGAAAAAGAAAAAGAAAAAGAAAAAAAAAAAGAGTAGAGAAAACCGAGTTTGAAATCAACAACATCTTCATCAACACATCATCATCATCATCAACAACATCCTCATCAACATCATCAACAATTTTTTTCCCCCCTCATCTTCAGATCCAGATCAACTAGAAAAAAAAAAAGAAGAGTAAAGTCTGAAAGAGGCGATCGACGATACCCACCGACTCCGCCACCGAGAGAGAGAGAGAGACGTCACCTTCTCTCTCTCACCTCTTCTCTTCTCTCTCTCGCCTCTTCTCTTTTCTGTATTTGAAAGCAAGGAAAAAAAAAGAAAAAAAAAAGAGAGAGAGAATACCCGTCGTTTTGGATATTTGAGTTACTTTTGGATCAAATTTCTCGAGTTACGAAGTATTATTGAAAAAATAAAAAGATGTGACAATTTATAGTATTTTTTTGATTAAAATATTTAAGGGTTGTTTGGTATGTCCTAAATAACTGTACTTTTTATCTTTTTAGACTAAAAAGTTGAGGAAAAAAATATGAATATTTGGGTTAACTTTTTGACTTTTTACGAAAAAATGTGTATTAAAAAATTATATAAAAAAATGTGTAAGTGAAGTTATTGATAGCCCGTACAGCAGTCTGGTAGAGCAGTGGCAGATTAGGAGATAGGAAATTATTGCCTACTTCTCGAGCTTAAATTGGCAGTGTTGTCCGGCCCGTGGCGGCCCACCACGGGTCAAATTTTGCTAATCGGAACCGTTGAATGTGTAGAACTCGTCGAGTACTATATGCTTAAAAAAAATCATAGTGATCAGATATCGATAACAATCTGATCGTGCTAGTTTTTTGTCAACCGTTAACTATAACACTATCTATTTTTTATACAAAACTAATTTGATCATATAGTTAGCGTGATTTTTCAGAGGCATATAGTATTAGAAGAGTTCTACACATTGAATGATTCAGATTATGTACTCGAAGAGTTCTACACATTGAATGGTTCAGATTATCAAAAGAGATCTATAATGGCCCCCACTAGCCCAATATTAGCCTTCAATTTAATGAATAGATATACCTATATTTTTTTTTACCCCATTGACAGTGGGGTAAAGTGCACTGCCACCGCAGGTACCACCAATCACATCTTTGTATGATAACATTGTGTAAATTAATATTTTTATATTTTTAATTAATGAATAGTAATAACTTTTTTATGAGTTGTCAGACTTGCCCTTAGCCCAAACGGACGTGGAGAAGTTTAAAAAACCCAATGCTCGGCTTGGAAGGACAAAAAATAACGAAACCTACGCCGTCTGTGGGAATCGAACCCACGACCACACGGTTAAAAGCCGTGCGCTCTACCGGCTGAGCTAAGACGGCTGGCACTGTCCTCTGATTTAAAACAAAACTTAATTAATTAATCTAACCCTTCTCAACATCTTCTCCTGCCAAACAAGCAAGGTTTCAAATGTGAAATGCTAGAGAGAGAGAGAGTCTCTGATTAGAAGAAAGCTTCAACTGTTCCAACAATGGCGGAAATCTCAGAAGCAGAACCACCCGTATCTTCTTCACCAGACTCCCCAGAAAACAACAAGAAGTCAGAAATTCCTTTGGACTTCGACCCCAACACCATGCGAATCACCAAACCCGGATTGAAGCGCCTCATTCTCTCCCTCGCCGTTCTCTTCTCCTTCCTCTTAGGTCATTCTCTCTCTCTCTCTCTCTCTCTCTGTGTGTGTGTATATATGTATATATGTATGTGTATGAATTTGGTGTTTCGATTGTGTTGACAGGTCTTCCATTCTTGCTGAAATCCATCGAGATATACCGTGCACCTCTTCCATTTCGCGACATCGATTCACTTTCAAATTCAATCGAATCGACTCCACTGGTCTTCCCTTGCCGCTTCCACGCAGTCTTTGTAGGTTTCGATCACAAATCCTCACTCGAGTCGAGTGTGGATAAGCTAGGGTTTTCAATTCTAGGTCATATGACCAAGTTTACAGGCGATGATTCGGTTTGTGGCACTTGTGGTAACAATTACACTGTTTCAGCAACACTAGACTCTGGTACTACTGAATGTGTTCACAGTAAGAGTTTAGAACTCTCTTGCTTGTGGCGGTGCGGGGCAATGAGTGATTTCAACTTTGATGATGATGATGAATTTGTTGATGAGTATTTGAAGTCTATGTTAGGTGGTCATGAGGGTGGGAAGGTTTATACTGTTGTTGTGGTGAAAAGGAATCAGGAAGTTAGGGCTGTGGTTGGGAAGCATAGGCACGCATGGATTGTAGGTAGGGTTTTGGAGGTGGATGCAGTGGAGAAGATAGCTGAGATTTTTGTTAAGATCTTTGTGAATGGTGGGAAGGAAGAAGGATTGATTCATGGGGAATTTATGCCTGTGGGTGCTGATGGAAAGGTTGTTCTTTCTTTCAATTTGTTGAATGCTGATCCCCACGATTGGATTTATGACTGGTATGGAGCTTTATTATGTGTTTGTTGTTGAGCATGCTGATGTGCAAATTATGAACTATTAGTTAAGTGAATTGTTTATCTTATATGTTCATTCTAATATGACAATTCTGTCATTTGAGTTCCTCTTTCTGTGCAAATCATTTCCCTGCTAAAAGAATACATAATGCAATATGAGTTACTAGCGGTAACTGATATAAAAATGACATGTTTCTTGTGAGGATCAGCAATAATTGTTGATTATTCAGCCTCATTTCTGGCTTAAGTTTTTTATTTAAAAACTTTATTTGGGTGCTAGGTCTGGGAGAAACACAAGAACTCAACTTTTCTAATCTTATTATCTTATGTGTTATGTTGTTTTGATATCCAAAGTGTAAACCCCTAACCTCAGCAGTCAGTTGAAATAAATTAGGCTTAACTGCTGCTACTATGATCTTGACTCCCACCTAATTAAGCCTAAGGCTCATTAATTTATTGTAGGAGGGGTCAAACTTGAGATTTGAAAAGTCCACCAGGGTCACCTTGGTGGGAAACTAACTTTTGAAAAAGGAAATGCAGGCATAAACTTAAGAGAAATGGGTCAACAGAGACCTAAGGAAAGTTAAAGACTGAACCAAGTACAACCTGAGGAGGTAAGACTTGTCGAGGTAAGACCATTCGAGGTACCACTAGTTGAGGTGAGACCCTCTAAGGGGAGCAAAGCCCTTGAGGTAAAACCAGACCCCCGAAGTGCCTCTTGAAGGCGGGGTCCCCTTACAACTGATAACAGACTTAGTTTATCAAATATGCCGTGAATAAGTTAGAAGCATGACTCTCGTGAAGATGGGGAAAGGGGACTGGAAATAGGGGATCCCTTCCAATCTATGAAGCACAGATAATTCAAATAGGATGACGTATCCGTATTGGATACCGATACTTTTTGGATACTCGCGGATGTATCGGATACTTCTTAATTAATTTTTCTTTGATTTTGAAGTATCAGATACTTAATTTTAAAGACAATGAATCTTACTTTGAATCGTTTATGCTTCTGGGTGTTTCGAAAAGTGAGCAAGGGGCGCCGCATCGACACTTGGGTGTGGTGAAAAATGGGCAAAGGTTCTCATGTTTTTCTGGACGAGCGCGGGGTAAAGAAGCTAGTCCAAGACTATAGGTTTAAGGTAGCCACTTGGAACATAGGAACCTTAACTGGTAAGACGATAGAAGTGGTAGATGTTATGATTAGGAGAAAAGTTAGTATAGCTTGCATACAAGAAACTAAGTGGATGGGTGAGAAAGTTAGGAAAATTGAGGATACCGGTTTTAAACTGTATTATAGTAGTAAGGATAGACGCATGAATGGTGTAGGAATCATAATTGTCAAGGGTCTTGTGAAAAATGTAGTGGTAGTCATTAGGAAAGGGGATAGGATTATGTTAGTTAAACTAGTTATTGGGGAGAATATACTGAACGTTATTAGTGCATACGTCCCTCAAGTAGGATTAGATGATTAGACTAAGGGGGATATTTGGGAGCAAATGGATGAAATCTTACAAGAGATACCTCTAGGAGAGAATATAGGTGGAGATTTTAATGGCCATGTAGGCATAGATAAACTAGGCTATGAAAGGATGCATGGTGGATACGGTTTTGGTGACAGAAATGAGGCTGGAGAGAGTATCTTAGATTTTACGTTGGCTTCTGACCTAGTGGTGGGCAATGCTATGTATAAGAAGAGGGAGGAGCATTTGATAACCTTTAAGAGTGGGTCAGTTAAGAGCCAAATAGATTACTTCTTAGTGAGAAAAGTGGACCGCCTAAAATGCAATGATTGTAAGGTGATTCCTGGAGAGAGTCTGGCCTCTCAACATAGGATTTTGGTACTAGATTTATGTTTTAGAGGGCAATACCAAGCTAGGAAGGATGGTGGGCGTCATAGAACGAGATGGTGGGACCTAAAAGGGGATAAATTAGAACTATTTAAGAATAGAATGAATAAGGAAGGTAGTTGGGACTTGGAAGATAATGCTAACACTATGTGGAACTTGATGGCCAATTGTATGAGGAGAATCTCAAGGGAAGTGCTTGGAGAGTCGAAAGGAATGAGACCCAGCTCTAGGGAAACTTGGTGATGGAGGGAAGAGGTTTAAACAGTAGTTAAGGCAAAAAATGAGTGTTTTAAAAAGTGGCAGAAGGATAGAGCTGAGGAAAACCTTAAGAGCTATAGATTGGCTAATAAGGAGATCAAGAAAATAGTAAAAGAGGCTAAGTTGAAAGTTTATGATGACCTATACACTAGATTAGATAGTAAAGAGGGAGAGAAGATGGCATACAAACTTGCTAGGATACGGGAGAGGAAAACAAGAGATTTTAATTAAGTTAAATGCATCAAGAGTGAGAATTCTAAGGTATTGGTGAAGAATGAAGAGATTAAAGAAAGATGAAAGAATTATTTTAAGAAACTATTAAATGAGGAACATGAAGATACGGCAATAGGGGAAGAAATAGCCAGTAATACGATAAACTAAGACTATAGGTTCTATCGCAGGATTAAAAACTTTGAAGTAGAGATTGCACTTAAGAAGATGAAATCAAATAAGGCTTTAGGACCCGATGATATCTCTATTGAAGCTTGGAAGTGTTTGGGTAAAAAGGGAGTAGCTTGGTTGACTAGGTTGTTTAGCAAAATTTTGTTGATTAGGAACATGCCAGATGAGTGGAGGAAGAGTATTTTAGTGCCAATCTATCAGAATGAAGGAAATGTCCATAATTGCAACAACTATACAGGAATCAAGCTAATGTGTCATATAATGAAAGTGTGGGAGAGGGTGATGGAACGCCGATTGTGGCCCCGTTTGGTAGAGCTGTGGGAAAGTGATTATAACTTATAGCCTAACAGCTTATAGCTTATAGCTGTGAACATAAGCTGATTTTTGACTTATAAATTAAGCTTCTCCTCCCCTACTCAAAGAATAAGTTGATTTTTGACTTACAAAAAGCTATAAGCTGTATTGTTAAACTGAACCAAACACATCAAAATAGATTAAATTAAGCTAAAAACTGAAGTAAGCTGGAAATAAGTCCTACCAAATAGGCCCTGTGAGATATAACAGAGGTGTCAGAGAATCAATTTGGGTTTATACCTGGCAAGTTAGCAATGGAAGCGATCTATCTTTTGAGGAGAGTAATAGAAAAGTATAGAGAAAAGAAAACAAACATTCATATGGTGTTTATCGATCTTGAGAAAACATATGATAGAGTGCTCCGGGATACAATATAGTGGGTGTTAGAGAAGAAAGGGGTGACAAAAGGTTATATTGATGTGATTAGGGACATGTATGAAGGGGTGGTGACCATTATTAGATCGCCTGCTGGAGAGACAAATAAATTTCCTATCACTGTAAGGTTACACCAAGGATCTACCTTAAATCCTTATCTTTTTGCTTTAGTTATGGATGAGTTGACGAGAAATATTTAGGACGACGTGCCATGGTGTATGCTTTTTGCAGACGATATCGTGCTAATGGATGAGACTAGAGAAAGAGTTAACACAAAGTTGGAGATTTGAAAAAAAAACGTTTGACTCTAAAGGATTTCAAATAAGCAGAACTAAGACATAGTACATGGAGTGTAAATTTAGTAACAGTAACAATGAAAGTAAAGGAGAAGTGAAGATTGAGAACCAAGAACTGCCTAAGAGTGAACATTTTCGTTATTTAGGGTCGATTATCACAACAGCGGGGGGAGATTGATGCGGATTTGGCCCATAGGATTAAGGTGAGATGGTATAAGTGGAGAAGTGCGTCTGGGGTACTGTGCGATAAACGAATACCCACTAGACTAAAGGTAAGTTCTATAGAATGGCTATTAGACCAGCAATGTTGTATGGGACGGAGTGTTAGGCAACCAATAAACAACATGTAGATAAGATGAGTGTGGCTGAGATGAGGGTGCTAAGGTGGATGCGTGGCAAGACTAGACAAGACAAAATTAGGAATGAGTGTATTCGGGAATGGGTAGGAGTAGTACTGATAGAAGATAAGTTGAGAGAGAATCGATTGAGATGGTTTGATTATATTTAACAGAGACCAACAGAGGCAGTAGTGAAAAGATGCGATGCTATAATGGTAAATGGAAGTGTTAGGGGACGAGGTATGCCTAGATTAATGTTGGCTAGCGTTGTAAATATAGATATGGATTTACTTAATTTGACTAATGCAATGGCCTTTGATAGGGCCGCATGGAAAAGAAGGATTTATGTAGCCGACCCCATTTGATGGGATTTAAGGCTTGGTTTGGTTTGGTTTGCTTTGGTTTGGATACTTAATTTTGAAGTATCGGATACTCCAAGTCACATATTATTTTACGAAATTGTAATTGTAGTATTTCTTGCATAGGATTATAATATAATATAATTGCAAGGAGAAATATAAGAATATTTTTCTAATACTTTGTTTAGTTATTTAATAAGAATAACATAGTGAGTTAAATAATAGAATTTGTCAAATCGATGTATCCTAATTGATTCATCCATGTCTCTTATACTATATAAAAAGTAAGGATTAATAAGAGAATATAATAATAGTAAAATTAAATATCAATAAATAAATAAGCAAGTAAACTTTAATACAATATTTTTTATTAGTTCCAAAGGGAAAAGCGCAGAGACAAGTTGTGGATTGTTCTATTATTATAATATAAACATAAATGAAATATTTGCAAGAGCTATTGAAAATTTAAAAGGTTAACAAGTTACTAGCTTAAATTAATACATAATTCTTAAAGGTTAGTATTTTGCATTATAAATTACATTGTGGTTTCTCAACATTCTTTAGCTTATGTGTAACTCACTGCTAATAATCTTAAAAATACATTTTTTACAAATGTATCCTAACCGTTCTTGTATTCTAGTTTTTTAAGTTTTGTCATATGGCTGTATCCATATCGTATCCATATCTCCAATCTGTATCCGTACTTCCTAGCTTCCAATAGGCAGAATTACCTAGACCAAAGGGCTTGCTCCGGTTGCAATGGCAAGCACCTAAGAAGCCCCTAAGGCTTGGTAGGAGGCATAGTGTGAGAGTCGCCGAGGTGGACTATGACTTGGCCAAAGCAAGGCCATGTTTCTCGAATATGGTCTTACCGAATGAGATCCTACCAAGTAAGGTCTTATCGAATGAGGTCCTATTGAGCGACTTAGGTGATGCGTAGCGGGAAAGACCAAGGCCTGGCAGTAAAGAAAAGGAATATTTCACGTGATCCCAGAGACAAGTGTCACGACCCTACTGGCCACTTGTGCACCAAGGAAAAAACTATAAATAGGGCACATTTGCTACAACTCCAAGGGAGCATTTTGGGGAAAGGGGAGATGCTAACACTTTGATTACTGCCATATCCGTTCCTAGCTTGCTTGCTCTGCTCTAACCCACCCATTTGTTCTCCTTCTCTCCAATTACTACTGTCCACATCACTTACCTTTCCGGTGATACAAACCCTATATTTTTGTACCTCCCACTTTTATTTTTTGTTCTCCATTCACTACATTATTTTCACCAACCAAAGAGGTTAGATTATTGTGGTATGGTATATGTTTAATATTTACGTGACTGAAAAAATATTTTGTTCTGTCTATCAGAATATTTATTCAGATGTTAGGATACCAGGCAAACATGTAAATACATAATATGTACACATTTATATCTTCATTGTCCTTCTAATACTTGATTGTACCTGCAGGGATTTTCAAAAGGTAGATGAGATTCTTTTAGCTCCTATTATTGAGGCTTTGGGACCTGTAGCAAACATAAGTGTGGAAAGTCAGGTACTACATTGCTTCTTCCATTAGGTGATACAAGTTTCCTCAGAAATTTAGGTTATTATTCTATCTGTTTATGACTTGATTTTATGTTGTTTTGCAAGTGCAGGTTTTGTACCATACACCAAAGTCCTCATTTTCTTATTGGGATGATGAGCTGGAGAGTTACATTTTTAGTGCCAAAGATCTTCCTTTCTTTGTATGCTTCTTTAGCTATTCATAAATGGAGAAGCATGACTAGTTGCATGTTTTCAAAATCTGATATGCCTTAAGTACGACTATTTTTTAAATTTTATACATATCATCCTTATCAATTTAAACATGTATCTCCTTTAACTTCTTTAATAATTAAGAATTGTTTCCATAACTATCTTTTACAAAAATTTACATGCATGAATGTGCACATTATCTATTACATAGCATCTGATTTTAATACTCTCATCCTAGTTATTTATTTGTTTAATCAAAAAGGTCTATATCTATCAAACAACATCAAATGGGAAATTTTTTTTTTTGTGATGCAAATTGAGATGCATGACATGTAGAAAATGAGGATAGGATGTATTTGCAGCTATTATGATGTCATGGCCTGCTACTTCGTCACTAGAGCAGCTGGTTGTCTTTGTAAAGAGTAACTGAAATAATCTTGGACACCAGTTTCTGGTGCCTTATCTGCATGCAATATTTTTTGAAATTTCCTTTGTATTTGCTTAACACATACAAAAAAATTAGATTTGTTATATTTCTTGAATGCAAGTGTGACCTTTATAGTGTGTAATATTTTTAACTAATGTTGTCTAAGTTTAATAGGTGAATTCAAATGAGTGGCATCTAGATACTTCCATTGCAGCTGGTGGGCGGTCAAAAATTTTGCAAGTTGTGGTGTATATTTTTTGACCCATTATCTCTTGTTGTTTTCATCTTCATCTATTCTCTTATTTAATTTGGTCATTTATTAATATGTAATTAATGAAAGCTGAAAATCTTAGATTGTCAACAAATGGTAACTATCTAATGCTCAAGGTGCATGCTGTATCTTACCGCCAGATATGTGCCATCTGCAAATGAGTGCCCTCTTCTGTTACAACTTCCCAATGGAGAGATTTCCACGACAAATGGTTTTATATCTCCAGTGAGACCCTTCATCAATATCATTTACATGTTTGCCAATATTGTTCTTGAGGAAATTTTCTAACTAAATTAAATATGGCATCTGGCAGATGTGGGGAGGTGTTATTGTTTGGAACCCCCCAGGCTGTTTGAGAGATTCAGAAAATATGCAACCTCTGAAGCATAAAATTGCCCATCAGGTCAGAATCCATCTGTAGATTGCATCAAAGTATATTTGTATTTTTAAGTAGCATCAACACTGACACATGGACATGCAAATTTTCAAAAAATGTAGGACACGTGCAAAATATATTATTTTATATATTTATTATATATCATGTATAGGGATAAATATTTACGATGTATCATATTATCATATATATGAATATTTAAGTGAAAGATAATTATTTTTTAAAATCTAAAGGATGAGAATATGTATAATTTACATTGTTGTTTTTATCATTAGATTCTAAGTTATTTTATTCAACCTTGTAATCTGTTTCATGTATGTCAAAATGTTAGAAAGTGTCCTATGAGTGTTGTGTTGTGTTGGACACGACACATTACCTCCTTAGAAGTGTTTGCGCTTCTTAGATTTTTAAAGCCCACAGCTATTGAGAAATGTACTTCAATTTGAAAACAAAACAAACTATAATTGCATATATCTTAGATCACCTACACCTTGCCATGCTTCTACAAATGGCAACACATTAGCAATTTTTCATATTATTTGATATAAATGAATATGAGTTCATCAATTGTAGATTTTTAAAATCGCAACTAGGAAAGTAGCTGCAACAAACGGGATGATATACTTATGACACTATGATTCAGCTGTAATCTGCAAGTTGTGTGCCAAGACAGAAACTGTAGTACAATGGTTATTTTCTAATATGTAAACGGGTTTGTAGGATGTAAAAATTTAATGTATAAAGAAAAATGATTGTATTATTGATTGATGTATGTTGTATAAATTACAAATGTGAGGGGCTCCTTATATAGGAGATATAGGTGTAGTAGGTGGTGGTAGGTGTAGTAGGTGTGGGTGGAGTAGGTGTAGTAGGTGGTGGTAGGTGTAGTAGGTGGAAGTGGTAGTGGTAGGTTTTAACATAGGATGTGTCCTTTTTATCTATATGGCCCTATACCCAACTTGTAGACAGATTTCAAGCCAAGCCCGTATTTGCTAAAGATTAAGGGGTTTGGGGAGATCTAATAGGCATAAACACATCTGTGCTCAATACATGTATCTGTGCTAAGATTTGATTCACTTTTAATCCAGATAATCTTAATTTTTTAATCCAATTATATTGCACTTGATACATATGCTGGCTTTTTTGTTTTTCTATGTCACCATTTATCATAATTCCATAAGGCTATGGCTTAATATTTAATACTATCTATTTGGGTTACACCTTCTTCTTCTTCTTTGCATTTTGCTTGTGTCTTGGCAAAAATGTGTTTTCTATTTTTGTAGTCTTGGTTTTCTCATTTTAAAATGACTAGAAGCCCATGTTGTATAACGCAGATGGATTCTTATCCATATTCTGAAGATTGATGCATGCACATTCTGAAACAGGACCTTCAGAAGGTTTTTGAAGTTTTCATGGGGCAGTTGCGGCAACTTTTTGGTCTTAAATCCAATAACCTTTATGTTGGAGCATCAGGAACATTTGTCCTTTTAGCTAGTGAAAGAGGCTTTACAGGATGGTAAGGCAATTCTTGAGTACAGTGTAGTCAGCAAAATGGGAGATTGGATAACTGTCATCCAAGCTTCATAGAAGATATTATGTTTCTTTTGTATGAAAATATTTTATACAAATATCACACTGACCTATTAGAAGCTAAAGGCCATGATGTTATTCCAAGTGTCACCAAGGTTTCTTATTTTAGATGGTTTTGTTTGCACAATTTTCTTTATCCACCTGATGCATATATTGATCTCGGAGTACTAGATTTCAGCTGAATCACTTGAGTAACACATGGTAATCATTGAACTTCTATGCCATGGTTATCACTTGTGTTATGCTATAATGGCTTTTGCTGATATATTTTCCTTTGATTATCAAGTTCTGTGTTTTTCCAGATAATGAGTTGGCTTTTTCATCCTTTTTAGGGAATTGGATGTTTTGTCACGGCAGCACACATGTTTTAATCTTCTTTCATGTGCAACAACCCTTGGATCACTTTCCAGATTGGTACATCTTTATTTCTTAAATTATAGAAATCTGTCAAGTTTATGGGGTTGTGACAAAGTCTTCAATGCAGGTGCAATCACTTCCAAGGATGATTATTATGGAAGAGATAGGAAAGCAGGTCAGTTGTTAAGAGAAAGGCTTGTTGATAGCTTATTTCTTTTCAGCTACAGTAGTCTTAGTACTATAATGGGCCTAGCCTACAAAAGGAAAATAAATCCTCAAGTTAATAGGGTTATTGGTTAAGATGTATTACCCTTTTATACATAATAAAGAAATTCTCCTCTTATAAGCAGGGTTCAAGACAAAAATGTCTCCACCTTCGTCTAAAACACACAACAAAATTTTTGGTTGTGTTAGGAAAGTGACAATTGCATGGAGGTTTGAGTGGTGGTTAACTACTTTCTGCTAGCAAGTTTTCCATGCTAGAATTCGTGGTTATACATATACATTTTGGCTGTTCAGAAGAATGTGATGATCTGTTGTCAGCACTCTCTCTCTCTCTCTCTCACACACACACACGAGCGCGCGCGCTCACAGATAATAGACACAACATGGTCATTAGTGACTCTGGCCCACTGCATAATATTTTTATTCTATTACACTTGTCTTGCTGAAGTTTGTGATAGTTGATAAATTTTGAGAATGGTGTCTCACGTTATTTATTAGTACTCTTGCCTTTACTAACCAAATTATTTTATTTTTTGTAATTAAGCTTAAAATGTATATATATACACACCCAAGCTCAAAACACTCCCCCTTAGAAGGAAACACAGAAACAGCCAAACTGGCGAAAAACCCTTTTCTAACCAATTTGTGGTTTTGAGTGCCTATATATTTATATAGTCCTCAGAGCCCCCATTCTATATGTTACGGACCTATGATTATAGAACTAGCAGCAGGTTGATTTAATTATCTGCTTGAGCAGGTAAAGTTCTCTCTCGAGGCTGCAAATTTGGCTCAAAGTAATGCATCTGTTGGAATTTATGATGCTTCAGCTGGTATGCCCCTTGTACTTGTAGGTTGGTAATTTGCATGGAGCTTTATTGCCTACATTTTTTCATAGCAAAGAACTGCTAAATAATACTATACTCTCATTTCTTGTCAGTGTCCTCAAGACAAGCAAGATCCTTGGCAGAAGATGCCTTTTTTCACCCCTCTATCATGTCTGTGAGCTATTACTCATTTGAGCATTGCTTTGCTGTCTATTCGGTAAGCTACATCAAACTGATCAGTGGAATAATTTGACCCATGGAAGTTCTAAAAATATGAAGAAAACAAAACTGTAAAGCCATTTTTTATTTTCATGGCAATTTTTTTTTGTTGTTGGTGTGTGCGTGTGTGTCTATCTTTATTCTTTGACATGAAGCTCTATTATTTAGGGAACTCAATAAATTCACGGCTGTATTTAATAAAATCACAACCCCTCTCTCATATGGTGAGGATGTGGAATTATCAAAAATAGCTAGAGTTTTTACATGAATTTATTTTAGAGTAAATTACATTGACTTCCCTTGACGTTTAGAGATAGTACAAGCAGCCTCACAATTTTCATATGATTACATTGTGTTTCCCTAAGATTTTAATTTGCATAACACTTAGTTTCTTTGTTATTAATAATTTGTTAATCATATGAATAGAAAAATGATGTCATATCTTTTACACTAAAATGTATATTCTTCTTTTTTTATCTTTGAATTTTCACATCATTTGCATTAGTTTTGATCCTTTTAGCCTTACGGCAAGGGAGGTCAATGTAATTTACCCTTTATTTTTAGATGAATATTGAATGTATGGATTATTGGCATACAATTTGTAGTTGGTTGGAACTTGACATAATGGACTGATTGTGTATATCTTTCTGTCCCTTGTGACAGCCGTTCTTTTTGCCGGTCTCGTTGCATGTGCTACTTGCAGCTGTCAGGGAGTGGAGAAGGTACAAGCAAGAAATGTCAAAATACCTAGCATGGAAAGCCAAAGGAGGAGGAAGGTAGCATCAAAGGAACGAAGTGAAGACAGCCTGGGCTCTGTTACATGGAGAAAAGTATATGCTGGTTCCAGATACTAAGTACGCATTTTAGTGTATGTTACAGAATGGGATTTCTGGAATTCAAGCTTCTGGTGCAGCCAGCTATAATGCTCTATTTGAATATTATTTAAAATCTCTTTCATTGCTCCAAGTTTTGTCTATCGCCTTGTACAGTTGATCTGTTTGGTTTTTTGGTTGCTGGAGTCCATTGGTTATGTATTTTTAAAATTTGAAAACATTGTAATGCTGAGCTGAGATCTATTTAATTTCAGTTGATAAGCTCTCTCCTGCTATTTGGTTATCACAGATGCTTTCTTTCTTGTACGCTACTGGTTCACCATTTGAATTGTCTTTTCCTCTCCTTTTTTCCTTAAAGTGTAAGGAAAACATTTAACCTGAAAGATGCCCTTGTTTTATATGCGTAAAAGATTTGAATCAGCAACACTAATAAACAACAGCCTACAATTGTATGCGGTGGTTGTAGCAAATCATGTATTTGCTGTTCAATCAGTAGGAACCAAAAATATCATTTAACTGTTAAAACCACTTTACAATTCAAATGCAAAAAAGGGATTACAATACTCCGAAATGCAAACACCTACCACGCCACTTGATTGTAGAATGGGGGGCAAGCTTTTTGCTTTTAAGTATGAAGCTATTTGCAAACTGTTGGTTTACATTTTAGTTGGCAAACCTCCGAGATTTCTTCACTTTCAAGTTATAACTAAATCACTTCACCTCATAACCAAACACCAACTAATGCAAGCCCCACTTTTAGTTAATCACCACTCAACTCAACTCAACTCAACTCATAACCAAACCCCTCTGTAATGCCAAGAATCACGAGTGCAAATATTGTCATGAAACAACTACGTTGCATAATATGGGATAGTTTCCATGGGTCAGTGAGATCCATATGTTTCAAACAGTTCAAGCTGAGTTGGGAAAATGGCATTATTGCATCTAACAAGCAATGGTTAGTTCTACATAAACACCCAAAGAACAAAACTGCTTCAGCAAATAGACCTAATGCTCTCTCTCTCTCTCTCTCTGTGGGTTGTTTGAAGTACAAAATTATTGGTCTTGAGAAGGTACAACAACATACTCATAATAAAGAAAACACTAACCAAATTTGAACAGCCCTCAGATGGCAGACAAAAACAACCCTAATATAATTTAAGCAACAATCAAATTAACAATTTCTAATTCTGTCCGGCTAATGAATCTTCTATTCATAATATACCAACAAATGAACTCACTGAAGCCAGTTTCACCACCAATACAACTGAAGAAATAATCCAAACAAGTTGCATGCAGTCATACCAAACAAAGGCTGCTGACTACAAGTGGGGGGGTGTTGGACCAAATCATTAAGATCACAACCAAACATACATAGGACCAGCCGGCTTCACTACCAAATGTCAGGCTCTAGACTCCAATGCCAAAAGTATCTTCTTTCTTGGACCCTGAAAGAAAACCCCCCAGAAATAAAAACAAATAATAAAAATTTAAAACTGGTAACAGATGAGGAAAAGCATAACTATTTTTTATACTAACAAAAACAAGAGCAATACTTTGACATGCATCCTAAATGATACCCAAAGATTCACAAGAAAAAAAGAATCTAACTCCATTTGTTTGGGCATTCTGTATTTTCTAGTTCCGTATTTTCCGGTGTTTGCACAATGGAAAACGAAAGTTAGATGAAAACATTTTCCGTGGTCAACGGAAAACAAGCTTGTTTGGACAGAAAATGTTTTCCACTTTTAAAACATGGAAAATGTTTTCCGGACTAAACTCTTACCAATGTCAACACACTATCACTGCCACTCTCACCTCCACCACCACACCACCATCAGCATGGCTACTGCCACCATCACCGTCACCATCACTGCTGTCGCCACCCCACCACCATGCCAGACCTTCGTCGCACCACTACTAGCACCACACAGAAAAACGTGTTCACCATCACCATGGCTACTGCCACCATCACCGTCACCATCACTGCTGTCGCCACCCCACCACCATGCCAGGCCTTCGTCGCACCACTACTAGCACCACACACAGGAAAACGTGTTCTTTGGAAAATATTTTCTGACAAAAGTATTCCATAGAAAATGTTTCCACCCAAACAAACGGAGCGTAACAACCAAAGCTTCTTAAAGAGTTGCATGTGTCAATAAAAACCACACATCCGCAAATCTTCATCTAATTAGACTCTCAGTCATTGATCCAATTCCATGAGGAGGAACACAAAGCATGTCTATTTAATTCTATATTGAGAAGGGAAGACAAGAACTCCAAATACTAAAGTCAGACCAGTTAAGTTTACCATTGGTATTCCTAAAACCTTCAGATCCTCATCGTTCATGTGCACAAGCGCTGTCATATCAACCTGCACAAACAACATAAAGTGTCAAACTAGTAAAATGAACATCTGAAGGAAATGGTTGAAACCAGAGCTAGTACAAATAATACAAGTAATGTAGCAAAGAGTTCATACTTCCTCTGCTTGGAATGTAATTGAGTACTTCTCCAGACCAAGGGACTGCAGGAAACTATCAACAGATTCAGCCTGCACCAGAGATGTAGCACTGAGAAGGATGAACTACCACAAATTTATAAATAACTACACATAACTGAGTTCTACTTTTTTGGTGTCCAAATTTATAAATAACTACCTCCCTGGCATGGCCCTTCACAATGGAAAAAATGCATATGGCACTGGTATGAAAATTGCTTGATGAATCAGCTCAATCAAATGTGTACAAGTTCGGCTATTTGTTCGCGCAATGTGTTGGCTTGGACTTCATTGGCCCTAGGTATGGGTGTGTTGTGGTTTTTCATATCAGCAAAGGAAAAAAAAGACTATGAAATTTTCTCCAAACATATGTTCATTCGAAGACTACATATTCATATTCACTCTTAATTGCAACAAAGGTGAAAAAATGAAATTATTAACTGCAAAACTACTATTGATCCTCATAGAAATTCATGATTCTATAAGATGCTAACTAAGCCACACTCACCACCTAACCACAAGAAAATCCAAAACATAAATGATAGTGCCAATTATATGACATGAACTAGTGGCAATCAGAACAATATTCTTTGCAATATAAATTGTGTGTACAAGAAGTTTTGATCTAGATTTATCTTAACCACACACCTCAGAATAAATTAAACTTTATGCCTCCTTCATAACAGTTGTAAAAAGGAAATGGACAAATAATAATAAGTGAAAGTAGTGCCTTTTGCTGAGTCTTTTTCCTAGGGACTGAGCTAGCAACTTTTTTGATCTCTGGTTCAAGGGCTTCAACAATAACACTTTTCCTCACAGGCTTACTACCCTCAAGAACTGGCTTCAGCTTTGGAAGATCAGTGTTCGCTGGATGCGAGTACATTGTGCCAGAAAGCTTTTCACGCAGATCCCTTGCGCCAGAAACAGATCCATTTCCACTTTTAGTTGCTTGCTGGACACTCTTCTTCTGGAGCTTCAACCGAAGATCTTTAGTACCAACTCTGCGATCTTTAAATGCCATTAACATTCAATCAAAACCATATAAGAGTTATGCATATACATATAAATATATATATTAAAAGGCTGAGCAATAACTTGTTGAATTCAATCATATTTCAACAAACCATACTTGACACTTGATGTTCATCATCTTTGTAAAGATCGTGTTCCCATTTGTCATCATCTTGTCTCAGCCTGAAAAAAACATATGGCATCGAATTAAATAAAAAAGTCTTGTCCCAATGAAAACAAGTAACAAGAAGTTTTATGCAGTACACATGGAGAGCTCCACCTTACAAACTACTAGAAGAAATTAAGGTTGGCAAAAGAAAAAGAAGGAAGAACAACTATGATTTTTATTAGCCCTAAATAGATAGAGATAACCAAAAGACCTATAACTCAAGCCACATAAAGCCACGTGTCTCAAATTAAAACACAACTTTTGACAATATCTAACACCACAAAGACAAGACATGAAACATACCTTCACAGTATGGCTATTTTATGCAAATCATTAAAAATTCAAAACTCTTTGAATTAAGGAAATGATAAAATGTTGCTTCACAACCACTTTAGAATTAACAGATAAAAGTTATCACAGATTTCCAGTTGCTTATCCTTAATATATCCATGATCTTTATTTCCGGTTTCTTCCAACTTGAAACCCTACGAAACCATACACATATATATAGTGATAAGAAAAGGTAATTCACAAAACAACAACGTTAGGGAATGTCAACAATTTACAAAGGAGATATAAAAAATAAAAAAAATAAAAAAGACAAACCTAAGCTCCTCCTTCTCATTTAACAATAAGCTTAACAAAGTCCAAAAATTGGCCAAGTGAGAGGGTACCAACTCATATCTGTCCAAAAGAGCTCTTGAGCATAAAAAGCTAGGAAGCACGGATACGGATACGGGATACGGGTACGATACGATACGGATACGGCAATATGACAAAATTCGAAAAAGTAGAATACGGATACGACGGAGATACGTTCATAAAAAATATTTTTTTTACAATTTTTAGTAATGTAGCATCACCCATAACAACCATAATGCATCAGCTATAACAAAAAATTCATCAATTCAATTAAATTTCAACAATTTCAACAATATAGCATCACCCATAACAACCATAATGCAATTCAATCCCTTAATTTGAAAAAAATTTACAAAGTTCATTTATTTATCAATAAGTTTATTTATTTATTGATGGCCAAGATTAAGTTTACAAAGTTTATTAATAAGTTTATTTATTTATTTATTAACAAGTTTTTTTTTATCTTATTTGATTTATTAATAAATTTACAAAGTTTATTTTTAATAAGTTTATTTATTTATTTATTAATAAGTTTACAAAGTTTATAATTTTATAAGTTTACAAAGTTTTTTTTATAATAAATTTATTTATTTATTTGTTTTATCAGGATTCAGGTAATAGTACCGAATACATATACAAATTTTTTTTTTTTTTAATATCTTATTTTATTTACTTTGTTCTAAATTGCGAAATCTGTTTCCACTATCAATCGCAAGAGGTCTCGCGCAACTCCAAGCTCTTAACATATCTTGTTGTCTAGGAAGCACGGATACGGATACGGGATACGGGATACGGGTATGATACGATACGGATACGGCGATACGACAAAATTTGAAAAAGTAGGATACGGATACGGCGGGGATACGTTCATAAAAAATATTTTTTTTACAATTTTTAGTAATGTAACATCACCCATAACAACCATAATGCATTAGCCATAACAAAAAATTCATCAATTCAATTAAATTTCAACAATTTCAACAATATAGCATCACCCATAACAACCATAATGCAATTCAATCCCTTAATTTGAAAAAAATTTACAAAGTTCATTTATTTATCAATAAGTTTATTTATTCATTGATGGCCAAGATTAAGTTTACAAAGTTTATTAATAAGTTTATTTATTTATTTATTAACAAGTTTTTTTTTATCTTATTTGATTTATTAATAAATTTACAAAGTTTATTTTTAATAAGTTTATTTATTTATTTATTAATAAGTTTACAAAGTTTATAATTTTATAAGTTTACAAAGTTTTTTTTATAATAAATTTATTTATTTATTTGTTTTATCAGGATTCAGGTAATAGTACCCAATACATATACAAATTTTTTTTTTTTTTAATATCTTATTTGATTTATTTTATTTTATTTTATTTACAGAGTATACATACAAATAAATAAATAAATAATAAAAATAAACATGCAAAACAGAGACGACATAGATAAAAGGGAGGGAGAGAGAGATCGACCAAGAGGAGGGGGGAGATGAGATCGAGATCTGTCCATCTCCACCCAGACCAGACAGATCGAGCGAGAGCGAGAGGGAGAGGGAGAGAGAGAGAGTTCGTGAGATCGAGTGAGAGGCAGACAGAGAGGGAGTGAAAGGGAGGGAGAGAGAGAGGGACGAACCTGATCGACGACCGTCGAGCTGCTGTTCGAAACGAGAGACGACGACGAACTCCTCCTCCTACTGCTTCGCAGCTACTGTTCGACCTAGGTTTAGGTAAGTTTGGTTGATTTTTTTTTTTTTTTTTTTTTTTTTTTTTTCTTTTTTTCATTATACTTTGACCCCATTTTAAGTTTTTTAAATTATTTTTTTGCCCCGCCGTATCCATACTATATCCCGACCGTATCCCGACCATATCCTCTCGTATTCTAGACGTATCCAAAATTCAAAAATTAAAAAAAAAAAAATTGGATACTTCATTTCCCGTATCTGATACGTATCTCGCCGTATCGGGCGCGTATCCGTATCCGATACATACTCGATACGCGTACAGGGTCCATTTCGGAGTATCTGTGCTTCATAGATAAAAATGAAACTTTTATACCCTCAATAGACCTACAGTTCTGTTCACCCCATATATTCCACATAACATAAGGCATAACTTCTCCCTTCTATTCCCTACTTTATACCCCTGACAACTATGAAGAAGCGCAACCTCCCGCAAACAAATGTCCACTCGGTTTCGCAATGGATTAGAAGGCAGTTCACCAATTCTCCACCATGTGTGCACATTCCAACACCAATCTATAATCAACTGCCTTCTTCAAATCAAGGTATCGATCAGGACTGTTCAAATACCTGCCCAAACCGATGAATCCGACTCAGCCCGACCACAAACAGATGGTTTCGAATCCATAATCAGTCGGCTACAGGTAAATAGGGGCATTGTCACGGGTTATCGGTCGAATAACAAGTTTGGCAAAAAGAAACCCATATAACCTGACCAGACCGATTTGAATATTTAAAAAATATCTCCACACGTGTCATATTGTAATTGATGATCACAGATTGTATCTATCACTATTCTAGGGTGCTTCACCAACTCCGCTTATTGAAAGTGATGCAAATCTCTTTCTCTATGCACTCATTGATTCCTACATTAATTGCTACACTCACTTAAAATTGATTACATTTTCTCTCATACATTAATTGCTCTAACTCACCCTCTCACCTATTTTGACCACTCTCCATCGTTTCATCTACTGTCTCCTATGAAGCACGGATACTTCAAATAGGAAGACGTATCCGTATCGTATTTGTATCGGATACCGATACTCCTCGGATACTTACGGATACGTATCAGATACTTATTAAAAGTATCGGATACTTCTTAATTAATTTTTCATTAATTTTGAAGTATCAGATACTTAGTTTTGAAGTATCGGATTCTGACTCACATTTATCGGATACTTCTTAATTAATTTTGAAGTATCAAATCCTCCAAGTCATGTATTACTCCTTTTATGAAATTAGAATTGTATTATTTCTTGCATAACATCATGATATAATATAATTGCGAGAATAAATAAAATATTTTTACAATACTTTGCTTAGTTTTTTTTTTTTTTTTTATAAAAATAACATAGTAAGCTCAAATAATAGAATTCATCAAATTGGCATATCTTCATTATATCATGCGTGTCCCCTATAACTACATAGAAGTAAGAATTAATAAGATAATATAACAATAGTAAAATTAAATATCAATAAATAAATAAGAAAATAAACTTGCATAGAATATTTTTGACTAGTGCAAAAGGAAAAAACATAGGGTCAAGTTATGGATTGTTTGGATATTATAATATCAATATATTAGACTTGATATTGAAATGAAATGTTTGCAAGACCTATTGAAAATTTAAAAACTAAACTAGCTATTAGCTTAAATTAATACCTAATTCTTAAAGATTAGTATTTTGCATTATAAAGTTACTGTGATTTCTCAACATTCTTGAGCTTATGTGTAACTTAGGCCTCGTTTGGGAACAGGCTAATTTAGTAACTTTTTGACTATTTGGCTAAAAAGGTAGGTAAAAAAAACTTGTATGTTTGGGATGACTTTTTGGCTAATTACGAAAAGATGTGCAAAAAGTAGAGAGAAAAGAGAATCTTTGACTTTTTGGTATGGGTTGTTGGCTTTTTGGCTAATTTAGTAACTTTTTGGCTAATTGGCTAAAATAGCCTCTTGCCAAACGAGGCCTTATTGCTAATAATTTATTTATTTTTTATTTTTTACAAACGTATCCTAGCCGTATCCGTATCCTACTTTTTTAGGTTTTGCTGTATCGCCGTATCCGTATCGTATCGTATCGTATCGTATCGTATCCGTATCTCGTATCTGTATCCGTGCTTTCTAGACTGTCCCACCCTCTCCCTCTATCCCAATGAGAGCATTGATGTCTCTCTCTACTATTTCCTATACTACCCATCTACACTGTTCCATTTGGGAAAAAAAAATCCCTCTTCGCATTTATTTCTCTTTTCCATTAATCAATCTCTCTCTCTCTCTCTCTCTCTCTCTCTTCCATTACATTGATTCGATCCCCCTCACCCAAAAAAAGTCCTTTGATCTCTCCATCCCAAAAAATCCATTATGCCTCTTCAGTCTGCCATCTTTCTTCCATTACATTGATTATATTCATTCTCTCATGGGCTGGCTATTTGATCCTCCTCACCCAGAAAGACCGTTCAATCTCTCCTCCCAAAAAATCCATTATGCCACTTCAATCCCCCCGATGGTCTATTTTTTTTTCCCTAGAATCGTTAATGGTGGTGTTGTTCCATTAATGGCGATAGTGGAGGTAGATGTCTGACACTTACAGTTTGTTTATCAATTTCTCATACAATCTGTGATGAGCAATGGCGTCGATGAGTGATTGAAGAAGTAGTTGCTGTCAATGACATGGTGAGTCTCCTCTCTCCCTTCCTTTTCCATTTTCTTTTCTTCTCTCTCTCACACAAATCAGTACATGAGTTTAAAATCTTTTTATTGTGATGTTTGAATTCCATTTTTCCAATTTTTTCTCTCTCTTTCCCTCTAACAAGTTTTTGAAATTGACCAATCTGACCGCCAAACTCAGTCCGTCAATCTTTCACCTAAAAGCTACCCAACTTAGTTAAACTCCATCTCATAGCATCCTCCACTACTGACTTGGTCTTTAATTTATGAGTTTGAAATCCATATCAATTTTGACAACTATTTGCAATTTCAACAAACTACTACCTCATCGACTAAAAGAATTCCAATCTTGGTATGGTTTTTTATCACCCTAAATCCTAAATCAGCAAACTCTTCATAACCTCACTCACTATAAACCTATTTGTAGGCAGCATTAGTATATGTTCCCTGCTGTCCTACATGACTCTCTAATCATCATCCTTCCTCTGACATTCCAATCTCGGGGGACCCCAGAATTAAGGGGATAATGGTTTTGTCTACGCACATTCCAATATGCACACGCACGCCCATGAAACTGTTATATTGGATTATGTGTGTATATAAGAACAAAAAGAGTATGTAAGAGGGAAAAAGAGAGGAGAAGCAGACAAAATATTTAGCTGCACGATCAAGATTACTGATTACCACATCAGTATCATTAGCCCACTAAGCAAGTGATCCAGATCACCCGATTGTACGACAAATAATAGTTTCATTGTCAATTCTCTTTACTTGAATGCAAAATAAACTTGGGAACAAGAAAGAGATCAGCAAAGCAATCATCTTTCCATCAAAAACTACTTAAATGAAGTCCTAAACTGCAAATTATGGAACCCATGTAAAGCTTAATGAAAAGAAAAGCTCCTTTCAAACAAAATTTGAAACCCTTCTTCGAGAGAACACTCACCATTGTCCATGAAAAAAATTGAATAGAAAACCAAAACACACAACTTATACAATACACAACACAACGAGAACAAATACAAAAGACAAAATCAGTAAACAGCATCAAATCAAATCAAACGAACCTCTTGCCGGTAATTTGCCTAGGGCGAGTGGGATCGGGTGCGGTGTTACCATAAAGACGGTCCTTTATGGATTGCCTAGGGCGAGTGGGATCGGGTGCGGTGTTACCATAAAGACGGTCCTTTATGGAGCTCCTGGTTGAAGCCTCCACACGATCAGCATACATCACGTAGTATAGTAGTATAGTGTTTAGTATCGTTGATGATCACACAAAACCCTAACCCTAACCCTAACCGCAAATATACATATATATATATATATAGATAAAGGTTTTCCGACGACAGATAGAAGAAACGAAGGGACTCTCTCTCTCTCTCTGTCCAAAAAGCTCTCGAAATTCAGTGAATCGGGTCCTTGATTAGTTTCGAATGGAAAGTCCAATCAACCGCTTGCAAAGCCCGACCCATCCTCTCCGGTTTTTTTTTTTTTTGGCTTTTTGTCAGAGTGATGATGCATATGAGGCGTTCAAATGGTAAAATCGAACCATTGAGTTGGATAGATCTTTAAACTGGTCAATTTCATATTTTAATTCCACTCTAGGATTTGTTTTCTACAAAACGGTGTTGCCATGGCCCTTTTTGATGAATAAAAAAATAATAAAAATTTCTTTGTAAAATCAGTTTTTCTAAAGTCGTTTTTACTTGAAGTCTAATTAATTTTGTATTTATATAAAACGGTTTTTTATAAAATCATTTTTATTTTTATTAAAAAAAATTCTCAATTTATAAATATTGTTTGCCTGAAATAATAATTTTATCATAAATACAAAACGGTTTTAGGAAAGTCGTTTCATTATTAACAAAACCCATCTCATTCTCCCTTTGAACTTACGAAAGCCGTTTTTGATATCCAACACAACACAGTTGCGATTCTCAGTCAGTCGAACTCCGAAGGGAAGACCGACGACGACGAGGAAGCAAACGAACAACGACCAACAGTACACTACCGGCAAAACGAGAAACACCTTCAGCAAACACCCACATTCAGGTTTGTATCGCATAAATGAGGGTTTTCATTTTAGATTTGGGATTTTAAATTTCGAAATTAGGGATTGCTGAAACTAGGGTATTGAAAAGGTACAAATTTTGTTATTTGTAAGATATAGTTTACGATTTTCTATATCTCAGTTCACTTTTTCTGTGTCTCTGTTCACTCCTTTTTTGTTTATCATATAATTGTTATGATCAGGTTTTTTTTATGAGAGTTTTTTTTGTTTTTTTGTCCATTAATTTTTGTTTTTTTGTTAATTTTGGCTAGTACTTTGTTCGGTGGTACTGTATGGGTGTGCATATGTGATGTCAAACTTGGGTTATAAATTGATGTTAAAGAAATCAATTGTTATTATTAAAATGTGATAATTTTCTTGTCTTCTCTAATAGGATCAAAATTTCGTTTCCGTACGTTCTTTCGGTTAGGTTGGAAATGAAAATAGAAATGGAAACTTTTTCAAACGTTTCGAAAACATGAGAAATAACAAAAGGATTTGAAAGTGTATTAAAATATTTGGAAAAAAAAAAACAAAAACTTTTATTGATGTTAATAAATTCTCAATAGTTAATTACTTGAACATGTTGAGTGTTATGAATGCTTAGTTGGATAAAGGGGTTTGCCATTTTAAGAAAAATATATTAAAAGAAATTGCGAAATTCTTGTAACAGTAGGCATGGAAAAATAAACAATCTGTAACGCCCTCAAAATAAACCCATAATCATACATTCAGGATACAAGAAAGAGATATCATATTCGCAACATCAGAGTATTCTTACAAGAGATATTACATGTTGACAACAAAAATAAATGCCCTATAAGCTTACAACTTTCCAAGTTAACACTTGGGTTCAACAAAAATAGAGTTCTAACTCTTTACACAAAATAAGCCTTTGGCTTGATATACATGTAACACACAAAATAATCACAAAAGTAAGCATTCTGCTTTTACAACCTCCCAAGCTACGTCCTTGGAGGTAGCATATCACCTGCACCTGAAAATAATGTCTCATATAGGGTGAGCCAACGCCTAGTAGAGATATACTAACACATAATATGAGCAATAACTAAAACATTAACATTTGATAAATGTTCAACTCATATAAACCAACATACAGCAACCATGACAAGTATGTCCATGATCCTTTCCAATATCAACAATTTAAATGAGATTAAAACTCATAATAAAACACTTCCATACTTCACAATTCACATGAGATAACAACTCATATTAAAACACTTCATACTTCATAAATGATACACAGATTTGCTGTATCAATGGAGTCCATCCCCTATCTCCTCCCAAATAAAATTCGATTTAGGAGTACATCCCCTATCTCCTCCCACACAATATAATGTATATAAACAATCATCATATACATGATCAATCAATACACAAATTCGATGTATTATTCCAACCGCCATATTTAATGACATATTCAACCGATTAGTTTTAATTCACCTAATCATATGCAGTGTCTACAACAATCAAGACTATCCTCCACCGATAGCCTAAAGTAATTATTTCTAAACAGATAATAAATGCATTAAACAGATAATTTATCAACAATTTCAAATGTCAGTGATTAATCAATCCAACTACACCATTTCATCTCATAACTACCCAATTTCATTATTTCCAACTCAATTTCATATTTCCATAACTTCCAAAATTTATTATATAAATTAATTTATCAAAAATTAGGACTTTTGTCCCCCATTTTCCAATATTGACCCAAAGGCTCAAATATCATTACTAATCATCAATACCATCATTTTAAGACCCAAAATACACATGAATAAGTCATAATAACAAAACCCCTCTTTTACATCTTGAAACCCTAACACCCAAAATTACTCAACTCCAACATTAAATCAAAATGACCAAAAGTTTATGTCAAAGATCATAAAAATGAGTAGTTATCCCTACCTCAAATGAAGAGACTCACAAAAGATGATGAAGAAACTCGGATGTGCTCCAAACCCACAATTTTTCAAATCAAAACGAAGATCAAGGGCAGCTCCACACTTAATACAAAGGAACTAGGGTAGAAGATCACTAGAACTAGATGTATTTATAGAGAGAAGATGTAGTCTAGAGAGAGAAACTCTCAAGTTATTCATTCAATGAACTTCATTAAATAGATTAATGTATCTCATACATTCATGATACATATTGCATCTTCTATATTAATGAATTCATTAGATAGATTAATGTATCTTACATATTCATAATAGATACATAATGCATCTCTAAGATTCATTCATAATAAATCCATCACATTCAACGTATTAGCATTAGTCTTCTATACATTGTATATATAGGTGCATTCATCAATGATTAGTTACCATCTAATTGATGTACATGTATCTTACTTAATGAGATGAATCTAGCATAATCATGCATAAGCTTTGAAAAGTTAGAGAGAGAGAATGGCCCGAAAAAGTGATCCAAAAAGCTATTTTTCGGACTGATATACAAACAGGTCTGCTCGAGCGTCAAGCCCAAAATCTGGACATCAACCCTTGGTTTCTAAACACAACCAACCTGTTTTAAACCTGCCCAACACAACCCAAGACTCATATACAAAGAGTAAAGGACGGAAACGGGAATAAGGCAACAACACATCCACAGAACCGAGTCCGGAATACAATTAAACAATGAAGGGAAAACCGGGATCGCTATACAATCCGTGCATTGCTCCTTAATGTTTTCTAGACTACGAGCACAATTGGTAGCTGATTTGTTATCACAATAAAGCCTAAAAAAAATCTGTTTTGGTTGGTCTTAATTCTTATAGTGATTTTTAGTCAAAAGAAGTTCAAAGGGTCTATGTGTTATTGATTTGCACTTGATCTGGCATCTGTTTGACTGACATTTACTTTACCAAGTTGCAAAGATAACCTCTTTATCAATGTAATTAGCCTAATCAAACAAAGTTAAGAAAACAAATGTTTATTCAACAATCCTTAGAGCTTCTTCTAAACTGAGGTGTTGTAACTCCATGCGTGAATTGATTATCTGTAGCTACATGAATCTATTAGATTAGCGATTGACCCAAAAGCTTAATGTGTTTATGTTTTTAGAAGGCAAGATACTTTTCAGTCTTCATGGAAAGTTGGAATTTCAATATTTTATACTATTGTTTCAGAGTGAACAATTGTGGCCATGGTAGTTTAGAGTTTGAACTTGTGAACAATTTAGGATTTTCCTGTTAGAAGTTCTTAGGTTGTTATAGTACGAAAAATTAGGGCTTGTAAAATTAGGTTCTTATAGTATGACGAATTAGTTTAGTAGAGTTTTTCTATATCAAAGGCCTATTGGTTATAATGTCATACATGGATGGTTCAATACATGAAGATGAAATGAGAAATTATGGCGCGCACAGTGAGGTTGTGGGAAGAGTTCTTATAGTATGTGCATGCTATTTCATAGAATGTGAAATTAAAAAAATCAAAGTATGAAAGCAACTACACACGAAACACATGACGAAAACGGGTTTGATAAACCTGAACAAAATGTCAATTAAAGATATGGAAAATGTTCTTTCAAAGCATTTGAAAACACCCACCCATGAAAGCCCCCAAAAAAAGAGTTTTAATTGAAAAAATTGTTTTAAAAAATAATAATAATACCAAAGGGAAAGCATAACAACATAAAACAAAGAGTAAAGGAAAACATAAGCTCGTAAGAAGGGATGAAGAAATCATGACAAATCACAACAAAATAATTCAAATGTTAATTCATGATAATTGGAGAAATGATCCCACACATGATTTTTTGTTTAAATGTACAAATAGATAATCCTTCTAAATAATACAAGAAATATAAGTCATATAGGATGCTATTATATATGGAGCAAATAACTTTCATTTCTATGTTCACGTTGATATGCCACTTAAATATTTTGTAATACCAAAAGACTCATGCCTAAAGGCGCTCATGTGTAATATATGTGGTGTTTGCGCTCAAATGTGCTTACTTTATTATTTTGAAATAATTGATTTACTTTGAATGCAAAGTTTAGGTATGGAAGTTGTGAGCATTATGTTCTATTGAGGTGGAAAGATTTTACGCAATCGCGATGAAGGTGTGTCGTACGACACCGAACCTCAGGGGTTGTATAATGTGCACAAGGGGATAACATTGGGCGAGTTGGAGGCTATGATGGTGCCAAAGGTTGGTACGCATGGAGAAATAATGCGATTAGAGTTTAAATGTAGACTCCCA